CACGCATGTTATGCGTGCGGTTCATATGCATGTATGAGATAGCGGTGCCCCCACACAACCCATCCCCTTTCTCGTTTTACACATGCCGTATAATTGCACACGCAGATTTTTTTTCTCTTTACTTTTATCTCCATCACATAATTATTATTATTACTCTAATATTATCAATGCCTGCAGGGGAGAGAAGTACATCATCCTCCTGGGTGACACACAGGGCGCGTTTTGTTGGTCCTGTGGTCCTGAATCTCCCTCTCTCTCTCACACTCTCTTCCTCCCCTCTCTCTCTCCCGCCCTCTCTCTCTCGGACAGGTGTGAGTCGCGGGCCCGCCCCCCCGGTCACCGCCAGCTTGCTCGGGGGGGCTTAGGGAGTTAGTTGGCTCCTGACACTTTGACGCTCGCTGTGCGGCGTGGCGTGGCGTGGCGTGGCGTGGCGGACTTAGTTTGTTCTCTGGTCGCGACGCGCGGAGACAGGTGCGACTGAGCCCGGCTGAGCCGCCCGGTAACACGTGTCTCGAATCAGGCAATTAAGACGAGGCCCGAAACGCTTCGAGATATCGATAGCTCGAAGTAGTTTGTATCGACGGCCAGAAGCAAGGCGAGTCCACATAAAGGAGAGGGGGGTCATCAAATGAATTTTTGTAAAACGACGCAAAGGTCGGAAACCCCGAGCGGCTTCGGGTGACTTCTACCCTGCTTTGCTGGTCCCCGTCGGCCCAGCCACGCTCTGCCACTCCCCGCCACGCCCGCACCTGTCTGGCATCGTTACCTCCGTTATTTAGCTGGCGATGCTGCCATTGTGTACCCCGTCCCCACCACTCACGTCAGCCGCGCTCACCTGGTGAGGGGAGGAGGGGCCGGTACAGCATCAATAATACCCCATTTGTTACCGATCACGAAACAATTGAACAATCCTGCGATTGTATGCGCATGATTGTTGGTTGCGGTAAGCTGCATTACACCGTCGAACAAAATCTCGCTGGGCTGCAAAGAAAGCGTCAGTCTTGAATTAAATTCTCACAAGTCCTTTGGGATTTCTCAACGGGCTCCGTCTAGTTGCGCTAAATAAAACGAAATGAGACGAGAAATGAGAGCATCAGACGCAAAAATCTCGCGTTAAAACTTGACACCGACATTCGGGACCCTTTCTCTTGTGGAGAGGTGGGGTGAGTCGCACAAGAACACCAGCCGCACGACAGACACAGCCCGCCCCGCCCCACTCGCCACACCCTGCCCCATTTTTGCACCGATTTATACCGTCACATTTTTGTCGCACCTGTTGGTTCAACGACGGTGGCGGGGCGGGGCGGTGCGGGGGGCTGCGTGTCTTGGCAGCGCTTTGGAGGAGCTTGGCGGGGCGGGGCGGGTGGTCGAACCCCGCGAGCGCCTCACCTCAGCGGACGAGCACCTGCCATGCTTGTGTGTAACATCTACCTCAGCGTCAGGGTCGAAATTGCGACAAAGAAAATGAACGACAAAACTATCATGAGCGAACGTTGACCGTGTCGGGGTAAGAGAGAGAGAGAGAGAGAGAGAGAGAGAGAGAGAGAGAGAGAGAGAGAGACGTCGCAGACAGAATGAGAGCCTGCCCGACCGTATTTCGCTCAGCGGTCTCAACCATCATCCTTCTGCTCTGCTCTCCGCGCTCACTTCGGCTCTAAAACAGAAGCGAGAGTGCAAATAAGTCGTTCGCACCACATTCCCGACAATTCGAAACAAACGTTTTTATTACATTTTGTTTTGCATGACATGGGATTTTTTGTTTGGAAAAGAAACTGAGACAATATAGAAATACGTAAGAGGGATGAGCGTATTGTCGCAGAGTGTTGACGTTGCAAACGGTTGTAGTGCTGCTTTTGATTTTACGTGGTGTTGACAAAGGCCGTCGCCTGTGACCCCGAGCTGGCTGCCACACCGCCCGCACCTTGTCCCCAGGGGCTCTGCAGCGAGGCACTCGCCCCGCCCCGCCCCGCTCCCCGTCCCCACCGCGAGCCCTGAGGTGGCGGTCCAGAAGTGAAATTACCCAACTTTTCCCGGGGTCGTCCTGCCGTCCTTTTTTGCCCCGTGTGAACCAGAAGGACGCAAAGACCCCGCCATTTTTTCCTCACTTTCTCCCCGGCGACCCGCCCCACCCCGCCCCACCGCTCTCACCGCCGTGGAGGAGTTTCCTTGAGTTTCGCGACGATCCCCGACAACGCCGTCCGGAAAGCAGTTTATTTTATTTTTTGGGAACTCTGTTAATGAATTAGGGGGAGAAGCTCTCGAAACCGCCGGAGCAGAGAGAGAGAGAGACAGACAGACGGAGAGAGAGAGAGAGACAGAGACAGAGAGAGACACTCCGGTGAAAGGGACAGGGGAATCCTCGTCCTTATTCTGCGTGGAATAACTTTTATCCTTTCTTTCACCTGCAAAGAAGAGAAAGAGCGACGAAAAAAACCAAAAAAAAAAACAGCCAGCGGCGAAGCGGTGCGCACGCCAGGCAGAAGGACCTCGAAAATGAGACGGCCTTCTGCAAAAGTGATGCCGTTTACACAGTTTAAACAGGCGCGGTCCACTTTGGGGGCCGGGGGAAAGGTGGGGGGGAGGAGCCCGTCACGCGTGTGCTCGCCTGGGGAAGTGAGAGGCGAGGCGTGAACAGGCCACTTAGTGACCAGGGTGGGGACGCACGGGGGGAACAAAGGCCCGCCTAGCCCGGTCACCTAGAGAAGACGGGGAGAGGGAGAGAGAGAGACGATATACTGGAGACTGGAATATGGATGTTCGACGTCGAAAATGAATGTGCCTCGTATTTCGCTTAGCAGGGCGTTTTCGTAAAATTGGCTGACCTATTGCAAGACACTTGTAAGCAGCAAAATAAAGCTTAAAAAAAGGCTTCAATACTTTTCGAAGAAAATTGTAAAACAGACACTTCGTAATTATGTTTTTGGTCATACGTGGCTGATAAATCTTTTAAAATTTTTATAATTCTTTTATTTTCCTTTTTTTTCTCACAGAGTGATGTACGTGCCCGTGGCCAAGTCGGTTGGCTGCTGCCAGGTGGGTGCGACGCACATTGTACATTGCACGTTGTACGTCTTGTGCGCAAGAGGACGCCCCTGAAAGAGCGAGAGAGAGAGACAGAGAGAGAGAGAGAGAGAGAGAGAGAGAGAGAGAGAGAGAGAGAGAGAAAGAGAGAGAGAGAGCGAGCGAAGAGCCACACAATGGTAAGCGACGGCCACTTAGCTGCCCGGGCCAGGTGCACACTGCAGGGAATGTGTTCGCGAACACGCGTGGAGGACTTGCAAGACGTCGTCTGCTCATATGCTCAAATGAAAGGTCGTTCACTTACACCACTTTAAGTATGAGATTTCATACTGAATTCTATATTTCTTCGACGAGCAAACACTCGTTGCAACTCTCGTTACAATTGATGTTAACATCGCAAAATCTAACTCAGGAAAATGTGTTAGAAATTTCGCATATTTACCGAAACATGCACCGGTCGAAAGAATTCCGGACGAACCTCAAGAGACAAGAGTTCTGCGACTCTATCAAGTATAATGATTGCTCTTGGCAGTGTCCTCATTCTGGGGCTCCCCCGGCCAAGGTGGAACGACCTGACCTGCGGCGGCGGCAAGATCTGTTTGATTCAACTTCTCAGGCGTGAACCGTTCATCTTGAAAGAACGAGTGCGAGCAGGTGAGGGGGAAAAGAGAGCGAGAGAGAGGGAGAGAGAGAGAGAGAGAGAGAGAGGGGCGTCAAAGGGGATATTGGGGCAGACAGAGGGGCCGGACCCTGGCTCGGACGGAGTGAAGAGAAATTGAGCAAAACGCTGGAAAATTGCCACACACCTTCTGAAAACAAACAACACTGTGTTGGCCGCTTGGCTCCGCCGTCGGACCGTCTGTCTGACGGCATCCTGCCTGCGGGCGTGAGGGTGGGAGTTGTGTGTGTGTGTGAGAGAGAGAGAGAGAGAGAGAGACCAAAATTGACTGGTCTTCGCTGCACTCTGACAGCACAGGTACATGGGAATAATCATAATAAAACATTGTTTATCTTTCACGTGGTGATTTCTTTCACAGGAAGTAAGATTAGACTTGCGATTTTGTGTTACTTCCGGTCGCGTGGGAGACCGAAAATAGTTGCGAGGGTCTGAAGCCTACCGCTCAAGGGTTTTGGGACGGATTTGAGCGGTGTGACAAAGGGGGAAAGAGAGAGTGGGGAGGGTAAGAGGGGGGG